ATCCTTAGCTCTCCCCACCTTTGCCTGGAAAAACATCGTCGCCCGGTGCCATAGGACCCGTCTCCCAGCGATCCTATGCAAACATAGTTTTCCTGTTTGCGATTCTGCACTGCATCAGACCAATTTTCCATGCAATTTCTTCATGTGGCAGGTCCTAAAATACTATCTAATTAAAGGGAATAATCCTATAACAACAACTTGGTATACTACATCAATTATACCACAATTACAGGTCAAGATTCATCATAATTCCATCAATTCTTCACCACAACAACACCAAGTCACCATTGTCAATACCTAAGTCAAAATCCTACATCTATCTACCACTTACATCAAACATAATAATTAGATAAAAAACCCTTACCTTATTATTTTGAATGATTTATTATGTTCTTCGTGCCTCTTACAGTGATCTCCTTCAATCTCTATGCCCTAGCTTCTTTTCTTGCTCTTCTCCCAATATTTCGATCACACAAAATAAATTGTATAACTCTCTCTATTTCTCTATTATCACAAAGGACCCATAATACCTTCCTAAATTGACCTTACTTAGACAACCTCTATTTACCATCACGTCCTCACTCTTCCTACTAATTACCAACATACCATTCTAACTAAAATAATTCTATTTAAATAATTATTCCTATTATTCTATTCTAAATAATAATCCAAATAATTACTAAATAATCATCTAATTATTCCAATGCATCTAATCCCTTCATTCACATCACATGTTCCACATCATAAGCAACCCCATGCTAACACATAACACATATAATCATATAAAACATCAATTATTCGTAAATACTCCTAATAATTCATTAAGTAAATAACTTTTAAAAATTGGGGTGTTACAAGAGGAGTCTTCTGAACCATCTACCAAAAAAACAAAAGGCCTTTACGTCCGAAGTGTGGAAACATTTTTTAATGGTTGGGCTTGTAGATGGTAAAGAGAAATGTAAATGTAAGGGTTGTGGAAAATTCTTGAGTCGTGCTACTACTAATGGAACCTTTCATTTAACTCTCCATGTTAATAGTTGTAGGCTTATTCTAAAATTTCATGATGTGAGTGATATGATACTTGATGCTGAAGGAAGAATGAGAAATAAAAACTTTGATCCTAAGGTTAATCGTGATATCTTGACTGAAGTGATAATTACACACAATGTACCTTTTAATTTTGTTGAATATAGGGATTTAAGAAATATAAAAAAAAATTGAATGATGATTATACCTTTATTACTAGGAATACTTCTTCCAGCGATGTTATGAAATCTTATGAGGAAGAGAAACAAAAGCTTAAGTTACAGTTGACTCAAATTAGGGGGAGAGTTTGTTGGACTTCTGATTGTTGCAAAAGCTTAAGTTACAGTATGTGTGAACTTTTGAATCCATTCTACAACATTACTAACTTGATCTCTTGATCTTCTTATCCTACTTCTAATTTGTACTTTGGTGAAATATGGAAGATATAGTGTCTTTTGAATTCCTATTTGATAAGTCAAGATTCTTTGATTCGAGAGATGGCTAAAAAAATGAGGGAAAAATTTGACAAGTATTGGAGTGAGTATAATGTTATCTTGGATTTTGGTGCTATTCTTAATCCAACAAAAAAATTCAACTTCTTGAGTTTTGCATATACAAAACTTGACAAGAACACTAGTGAAGACAAATGCAAAAAGATTAAGGATGAGTTGTATGAGCTTTATGTGAAATATGTCAAACACGGGAGATCTAATCCTTCTAACTTTTCACAAGTGGTACCTACTTTTGGAGAAGAAAATAAATCTTTGGCATTCTCGTTATATATTTGTGAAGTAAGTGCAAATTATTATTGTTATTTCTTTTGATTGGTTTAATTTTAAAATTTAAATTTTTATCATTTTTTGTATGTTTAATTTGTAGGAATTTGAAGAGCATGAAAGTCAAGCAAGTAACAATACTGGAAAATCTAAACTTGATGCTTATTTAGATGAACAAAGGTTGCTTCCATCGACTGGTTTTGATATCTTGGCTCATTGGAAAGAAAAGAGTCGTAGATGTCCCAATCTTGCAAGAATGGTTTGTGATATATTGAGTATTTCAATAACCACAGTGGCATCTAAATCTACTTTTAGTACTGACTCTCGAGTTTTAAATAAGTTTAGAAGTTCAATGAAAGAGAAATCCGTTCAAGCTCTCATGTGCATACGAAGTTGGTTATATGGTTTTGAAGGTAAACTTGTTAACTTTACTCAAGTGTATCATAGATTCATAATATTGCATGTTATTCACTCCTATAATATTTTTAGTATTGCTTATATGCTTTTATTATTATCATAGTGTTGCATATTATGCATGTTATAAACTTGTTTATATGCTTTTAATATTTTTTTAACGATTACTTTTTTGTTTTTGTAGAATTTGATAATGACATTAACATTAATCAAGATGATGAAAGTGGACAAGCATCCAACACATTTGAACATGTGAATATCGTTGAAGGAAACTCAAGTGACGTTGTGAGTCGAGTTAAGACTATTTGACTTTGTGTTATTTTGGAAGGAACAAACTTATTTTGTGTTGTCATGAATATTTTGTGTTATCATGAATATTTATAACTTAAAACTTGTTGGAACGAGTTATTTAATTTTGTGTGCTACATTGGATAATTTGTGGTGTATTTTGAATAATTTGAATTAAGTTAATGTGTTAGTTTTACATTTTATTTGGTAACTTACATGGATTATTTACAAATCCTAATTTTGGATATGAGAAACTTTAAGTTAATGTGTGATATATAAGTATTATTGCTTGCAAATTGCAATTGCATGGTTACTAAAAAAAATAAGAAATTTTTTATTTATTTTTTTAATAAATGGGCACGTTTAGGGTCGGGTAGCCCGCAACCCAGATAAGGTTGGGCTTGGGTAGCAAAACTAGAGCCCATTTAAATATGGATGTTTTGACCCCGACCCTGAAAAGTCTGAGGCCCACATGGGTCGACCCGTTTAGGACCGAGTAGCCCGTATTGACAGCTCTAGTAGAGACTAATGCATGAAGTAAATGAGATTCACTTTAAAAATTGATATCCTTCGACTTATATTTCTTTTCCTACACATCCTAAGAGATTGAACCTGTAACCACATATTTAAGGAAATCAAGGCTAACTTTATATATAATAAAATGAATAGAATAAAGCGGATCAGAATGAAGATTCCTTTCCATCGTTTGAAAATTTTGAGACGAGACAAGGCAAGTATTTCATTCCAGCCGTTAGCCTGTATCAAAGAGGAAGAAATATAATGGTAAATGATGGAATGGAATGAAATTCTGTTAGACCTTCATAATTACTAGGAAACATTTCTATTTTGCCATGCAATTATTTTATTAGTTGTTACTGTTATCTTTCTGTCAGTTACATTTTATTAATTAGTTAATTAATGCATAACAACCTATAGAACTTACATGCATTAATGGAAGAATATAGAGAGCGAATTGAGTTATATGTTGGCCCCTTGAAATATGCCGAACCATCTTATTTAAAAGGAATATTTTTTAATGGACTCCAAGATGTTATAAGGGCAGAATTGAAATTGCATCCTGTAGAACGGCTGACTGAATTGATGGATTGTGCACAAACGGTGGATGAGAAAAATAGTTTGTTGAATAAAGGGAATGGTGAAATAAATTATGGTGGTGAACCAACCTTCAAAAACTATGACAATAGCAGGGGTGTGACATGTGATCTTGGAAATAAAAGTCATCCACAAATTATTTTCACTGCTGCAAGTTCCACATGTGAAGCAAATAAGTCAAAACCAATTTTTTGCAAAGGCAGAGGCTTTAGAAGGTTGACAGATGCAGAATTGCAAGATAAATCACTTAAAGGATTATGTTTCCAATGTGATGAGAAGTTTAGCCCTGAACATGTATGTGCAAACAAACAATTTCAAGTTTTGTTATTGGAGGAAAATGTGGAAGATGAGAACTATGGTGAGAAACCCAAAGAAGTGGGTGTGAATTCAAGTTCTAGGACCCCGAGGGACACTTGGGTAACCCTTCACCTTGAGGACAAGGTGAGTTTTTATGGGGGAGTATTGTTAAACCTTCAGAATTACTAGGAATTATTTCTATTCTGCCATGCAATTATTTTATTAGCTATTACTGTTATCTTTCTATCGGTTACATTTTATTAATTAGTTAATTAATGCGTGTAAGTTCTATAGATTGTTATGCTTAATAAATATGAGATAGCAAAGGATAATGGATTATCTGGGAATTAGTAAGTAGTTATTGGAAGAGACCTAACACTCGAACATTTGGGAAAGGAAAGATCCAAGACTCTTGAATTCTTAGAATGAACCAAACTAGTCCATGTCATTTTGTTTGTGTTATTTTTGTTTTGTATCAATAAATATCATAAATTGTCCCAATTTTATTTTGTAAAAGAATGATTTCTATCAAATTCATATCTCTCCATTATGCTCCATCCAATTTTAAATGATTCAAATAATAGAATACCACTTCATTCCATCTAATCCTGCTCCGCTCCCTCCAGTTTCATCAATCTAAATAAAGTCTAAAATATCTTTCGTTTGTGTCACGCTAAACTTAAGGAATTCTTATTAATATGTTCACATATTTTGTTCATGTCCTTAAAATTATGAAATGATCATCTTTTTGAATGAAGATTTAGCAGGTTATAGCAGGGACAGTCTATTATCCCCCTCCTGCATTAGTTACCATTAGATGTTATCTCAGACCTTTATATCATCCATGCAAAAATCTAATTTTGTTACTTGTTGGATTTACATTCATGGCATCTAAACTTATAATTAAATAGGTATTTATACATTGAACCATCAACTTGTGCATGATATTGAATTAGGTAACCATTTTACAAGCTTTCACCAACATATACACTCCCTAAAAAAACATTGTAAGCCTTACAACTTGCTAAAACATGTTCACCATTTGTTTCTCCAAGGTTTACAGTATCATAGTTGTCTTAGCCCTTCTCACTTGGGAGTGAAAGCCTGTAGAAGCAATAATAGATATAATCAGTAATGTTTTATACCAATTCGGTTAATTCAGGACAAATAGTTAGCGGTTCGGTTCAGTTTTAGCGAACAGCTATAATAGTTCGGTTCAGGAATTTCAGATTCCTTTCTGAACCGAACCATGAAGAGTATGCAATTTAGGAGTAGGGGATGTTGGTGGAACTTACAGCAAAAATAGTAGCATGACCAGGATCAGCAAGGTGAGCAAAGAGGTTATCGATAGGACCGGTGCCGGTGTAAATGTGCTGGAACCAAGCTCCCATAACAGCCAACATAGCCAATCTTCCATTCTTAATTTCCTTAGTTCTCAACTCCTTAAGCTTCTGAGGAGAAGCACTTCCCCAACCAAGTGGATCAAACCAAAGTCCACCAGGGTACCCTACATCAGTTCCTGTGAGCTTGTTGTTTGGAAAGATGGGGTCAGTGTTGACACAACCTGGATTGAGGATGTCGGCCCACCTTCTTCCCTCGGCCCAACCGATGAAAAGAAGCTCGACTATGAAGAGTGTGGTTGTGTCTGTGAAATACTCTTGCTCACCAGCAGTGTACCATGAAGGTGTGTTCAAGATACCAATCTTTGTTAGGAATTCTGGAATGAAAATTCCAGCTGCACCTAACATTGCCCATCTGCAGTGTACAAGCTCGGCTTGAACATTCCATCTCAGACTCTCTGGATCAGATCCTGTTCAATCACAACAACCAACACTCTTTTTATGATCACTTGAATTCCTAACAAGGAAAATAATCCTACAACCATCCCTAAATGTAGTACTCCTATTAAACACACACACCAGACACGATACTGATGCTGATACGTCTACACCGATCATCCTTAAATGTAGTAGTACTCCTATGAAACACAGACACATAGACCAGAAGTAATACCACACCAGACATAAATACTGACGCTGACACGTCTACACCGATAATAATCCTACAACTATCCCTTAAATATGAGTACTGATTGAGTAAAGCTTACCAAGACCAAGAGGGTCAAATCCAAAATCTCCTGGGAGACTTCCATCAAGCCATGGAGGAGGGGTGCTTCCAGGGAACCACAGAGGTCTATCAGGCTCAGCAACTGTACACACAGTTGTAGTAGATCTTACTCTAAAAGATGATGCAGTCTTATTGTTCACCTTCAGTTTCCTCCCAAGAAAAGCTTTTGAGCTTCCCAAGGGTGATCCATTCTTCTGGGAACTGCGTGCAATTTCACATATACATTAATATTTATCTATAGCTTGAGTCTCAATATACATGAAATAGTTCATAGAATATTCACAGAATTGCTACATATGTTAAGGTGATTAGTGTATGGAGAAACTTGCCTTGGAGTAGAGATGGCAACAGCTGCAATGGCAGAAGAAGCACAAGCAGAAGCCATGACACAGGACTTGTCCTCAAGAGATAAAAGTTATTAAGTTTAGTGAGTTTGTGGTTGATGTGAATGAGAAAGAAAATATGCAAATTTTTATTAATGTATGCAATGTTTCTTATCTAAAAGGATAATGTGAATTTGATAGTAGATCATGTGTTGCCATGTGGCATGAAGAATCTCATTGGATAGGTTTGTAGTGAAAATCAGAATCTTGTGGTTCATATTTGTTAGACCAAGTATCCATGGGTGACATTGGCACTCACACTGCCACCACCATAGAAGGAGAGATTCTATTATGTAAAAATGGAAGGAACCAATTTTTATATAACTCATTTATATAACCCAATTTTTAGAAAATCTAAACATATTTTATGTATTGGAGCGCAGATTCAAATTTGTTATTCCTATTTAATAAATTATAAATAAATTTTACTTTTGAGATTTATTAAATAATGAATGAATCTTGTCTATAAATTAAATAAATTAATTATTCAATAAATCTAAAAAGTAAAATTTGTTTATAATTTATTTCGGAAGAGCATTAGAGTATTTCTTAATATTCGCCACTAGATTATTTGACCAAATAAAAACACCAATTATGAACACATTAGCAATTGGAGTCTTAATTTTACTTAATTTTTTTTAACTATTCACTCCGTAACGAATTATAAGTAAATTTGACTTTTTTGATACATTTGATAATTAATGTATATAATCCATATATGGACTACGTACATTAATTCAAATGTACAAAAAAAGAAGTCAAATTTACTTATAATTTATTATGAAGTATTATAGTGTTTGTGATGGCAAGTAAATAAGACCTAAAAGAATTATCATCAAACCCTTTTTGGATGGATGAAAGATTATGAAGGATTATATCTAGTACCTCTACAATTAGACATGGCTCTTTTATATTGGGGTGTGCATTATAGTAGCTCTTATATGTGTAGCAGGAGAGGAAGTCTTAGAATTATACCTAGCACCCTACAATTAGTCAAATGGTTAATTTTAATTAGAGGTAGTTGAAGATCCTTTCATCATTGGTGATTTCATCTTCTTTCTCAGGGCCTCTTAAATCTATAAACTTTACATCAAAAGACTTTGATGAATCTCTTCAAGTTACAAATCAGTGTCTTGATGAGTTCATCATTCACAACCTTGAAACAACCATGAAAATCAACACATAGTAGCATTCACCCTTTTTATCTTTGTGTTTGTAGTCACACGAATTTATTTTTTGATGAAGATTTTTCTTTGTAGTCCTTTCTTTGTAATATTTTTGCTTTTTCTTTTCATTCCTTTTTATTTTATTTTCCCTAAGTTTTGCCTGGATTAATTCTTTTGAATTGATAGTCCCGTGAGATGCTCTAATTTTTGCCTAAGTCGTGTCTTCAAGTTGTTGACTTAGCGGACTTTTTTCTTTTGCTTTCTTTTTCTTGATTTAAAAAAATCGCGAGACATCGACTTGTCTTGATCTATTAAGAGAGCGATGACTGCCTCGTTTCTTGATAGATGAGGGATGACCATTATGATTTCAGGTCTCTTCGACCTCTTGATGTGTGAAGGATAACCATTATGGTCTCTTCAGAAGTGCGTTTCTTTTGAAATTTAAACACTCGATTAAATTAACTAAAAACTACCCTGTCCCAGGTTAAATATGAGGATTTTTTTATATTAAAAAAAACTCATACTTCAAGGCTCAAAAGGGGTTAACAAGGGATTATCTTCTTTATATCTCCAGTGTTTGGGGATTTGAAATAATGTTTGTACATCATCAGCATAATTTTATTCAAAAACATACAACCAGAGATTTTGCATTTTTCAGATCATCATCCTCCCTTCAATTTCTGTCTAGGCAAGCAGATTGGTAGCATTTGGTATCATAATACAGGAAAACACTTTAAAATTAAAAACAAGTATGAGTGAAACGAATGGATTTCTTCAAGACAAACATATTCATTGTATTATCATTATCATTCAAATGCAAACAAGTTCATACATGCAAACATTGTTTTATCAATCAAGAAAGAGTATAAATGACAAAGTAGTAAATGCCTAATAAACTGAGAAGACTCTCCATCTGGACTTGTGTTGAAGGAAAATATTTCAAACCCCAGGGCCACCACCTTCAAATAAACGCCCCTTTCGAACATCTTCTTCTAGAAGCACTCTCACATTCACCTTTTCAGGGAAATCACTAGGTGCATTAACCATAATCTTCTCATGAAAGAATAATTTCAGAGTTTCTAGGAAGACCTTTGTCATCTTTTATTCCTTCATATGAGGAGTAACTTTAGAGGTAACCAAAGATTCAACTAGAGTAGTCAGATGCTCCATACCAGCTTTCAAAGTAGTTACCTCTTTGTGGAGTCCAAAGATCTCTTGCTCAATGTTTTCTATTTTCTCTTTATAATTACCTCAAACATTATACTGATGAGACAACTTGACTTTGAAGACCAAGAGAAAGGAATAAGACTCAAACTCTCAAAAAGCAAGACCAAATCCAACATGATGCGGGATATACAAATGCTGTTTTTTTCAAGGAACCCAAGATATTAAATTGTAAACATCAAAGCATGGGGATAGAAATTAAATCCTAAATTGGATCAAAGCATCGATCAGGTTATCATCAAAATCAATCATCCATTTTGACGGATTCGAGTTTTCACTCCATCAACACTCAAGATCCATTGAGTTCGATGAAACTTATGATTTTTACAAAAAAAAAGACCTCTAAATTCCTTAAAAACCAAGTGGAAAAGTAGTTTTATGAATGCATGGTTACGCAACAATCAAAAACAAGGTTCAAGGGTTTAACGTCACGAACATGGAGTCAAGGTAAGAACCAACCACAAAGTATGTACTAAGGGTTTATCACATGTAACACAAGGTTCTAAAAGTTCCCAGAATCGTGATTCTTCTTTCGGATATTACAGGTTTACACAACTACTTGTGAGTACCAATAATGTTATCAAGAAAAAACCATATGAGTATAGTATCGCGTAATGACTAATCCAAGATTACTCTTAAATTGTCACCACACTACATCCTAAAGGACAAGATGAATTAGGGGTTCTACGGTCCTTAGCTTATCAGCCTCTCAGGTCGAAAGTAACAACGCTTTATATTTGTCTTGTTTAGCACTATTACCCTCGAGGAGGCCTCCACTGAGTGGGTTATATCATATGCTACTTATGTCAAGATTACATCAAGCATGTAACTTTATCACCATCCTAATCTTAAGTGTAATATAGTTCGGGTGTAGGACTTGTCCTTGCAAGAACCACTAAAACATCTCAAGGAAGTAAGTAAATCCACACAAAACAACAAACAACAACAATAATAATAGTAATAATAATAATAATAATAATAATAATAATAATAATAATAATAATAGATAATACCAGTTAGGCTTTAACCCTCTTAAGGATATTTCCCAGTGAAATCACCATTTTTTGTCATGGTGAAAAATCGGGAGACTAAGCTATTGAATAACTTGACTCACAAAGTTTTAAGAAGTCACCAACGAACTTTATTATTTCCAAGGAAAAGGGAAAAGATCAAAATCCTATATTAAACATGTAATGCAAGAAGCAAAAATTAAAAACAAAGCAATAAATAAGAGATATAAGGTGCAGGGGTCGATTTATACAAAGGGAAGATATTATCACCCTATATATCTATAGTTCTCTATAGGAACCTTTTGTAATATCTATTTTTTTTGTTAAAATTGGTTGTTTGCTAAATGAGTGTGGAGGTGAGAAAAGAAATATGTTTTATTATATTTTTGTTTGGAAAGACATAGTCTTATACCTACGTATCAATAAATAATCAAAGCCCCGTAGTTCACGGTAAAAATAACAAAAAAGTTTGTTGTGGTTTATTTTAGGAGAAAGAGACATTTTGTCATATTAAGGAGAATACTCAACTAATTCCACCATAAGTATGAGAAGATAGATCTTGCATCATCATGAAGGAATGACTTTTAACTTGGATATAAGATCAATAAGTTGCCACTAGCTCCCTCAAGTGGAAAGAATCACATTTACTTCACTCATCACTATAGGGATAGGAGAATCACATCTTAACCATAAAGATGACTCATGTCTAATTGTCATACCCCAATATTGACCGTCATGTTCTCACATTAAATTATTTTTTTCAAATTGGTTATTTGTATATGTTATACTAACATAAGGTTTTTTTAAAATATATTATTTATCTCTTTTTAATTAAATTAGGTGTTTTATAATTGTTTAAACTTTGTAAAAATTATTTTTATTTATCAAATATTTATCTATAATTTTCTATGTCTTTTATGTATGTGGTTGACTAAATAGTCAACTTTCAAAAATCATTTTTGTATATCACTTAGTTTATAATTACAATATGGGTGTGTATAAAATAAACATTTATTTAAAAGGGTGTATATAAATGTTATTTTGTTTTTACAATGATCATCTATTATATTTTTATTATTATAAGTTTATTGTTTGGTTGACCGAAGTCAACCTTGGTGTGATTTTTAGGTTTTTATTTCAAATTATTATTATCAAGTATTATTATTATAATTTATCATTTTATTAGCATAAGGTTGATTGAAGTCAACATTTAAGGTGATTATAAGTTATTTCAAAATTATTATTGCTATTTTATTATTTTTGTGTTTAGTTGACCAAAAGTCAACAAAGGGTTAGAAACCCTAAAATTCCAAGTTGCGCCAATTTACCCAGAAACAATCAAAAGCCCAAAATTCAGATGCGTTTTGAATCAAATCAGAAAAAATTAGAATTTTATTTGATATTGGTATATGAATACAAGTACAAGAATTGTCGAGATTCATGACATATAAACCCTAATTATATTTCTAAAAACAAATCTAATTAAATCAAATCTCTATTTTACAATTGAATCTTAAATCAAATTCGTAACAGCAAATCAACATAAATATAATTTCTTAATCTAAGTTATACCTAATGTTGTAAGAGCCCTAAGACTATTCA